GCTCTCAACCCCTGCCATGTGATCATGTGTCTTTCTCTAAGCCACTTTCCATCACCCTATCTGAAAGTGTGTGGGAAGACACAGGAACATTTGAACAAACATTACTCTACTGGTAGGAAACCTACATGAAAATAAGATCTGGGGATATTTTTTCTTAAACCTCTCCATCACAGGCCAAACAAATTACAGTGAATACACAGCCCATATGTGCCTTGACAGAGACTCATTCAAAGATACAGAGACATGAGAGACAGGGAGAACCTCAGAGGCACAAATCGAATTGTAGACCAAAACATACTCTTGCACACATACCTGGAGATGCAAACTCACCTGAGAGAGCTTTGTGAAATGGCAGTGAGATTGAAAGAGTGTAGGCCAGAGCTCAGGAGGACATGAAAATAAGCCTTAGGCAGGCAGTAACCAAGAGAGGAGGCAGACTCTATATATCTGAGTGAGAGTCCCCACTCTCACTGGGCCCTGGCCTGGTGTGCCTGAGGGTGATGCTGAGCTGGTGATGGGAAAAGGAGGGGGATCAGATCTCACCTTGGGAACAGAAAGAAAAGAAAAACACATCCCTTAATTACACTTCCCTCTCTCCACACAGAAAATAAAAATCCCAACTCCTTCCCTGTGATGAAGAGAATGAAAACAAATCCCCCCAAGCTCCATGGCAACATCCTCTTGGCCCTCAATTATCCAGTCTTGAAACTGGAGCTCTCAGCCCAGAACCAGGAGTCTACATCCTCAAATTCTGGGCTTAAAACCTATATCTCAGACAGAACCTAAAACTTAGACCCCCGTGGGCAAACTCCAGGACTGAGAGCACAAGAGAGTTTGGAGCCCAGGATTTAACCAATAAGGGATATGACTGTAGCTGCCTTCATCTACTCATCATAGCTGTTCCCTACTCAATTTTCACTCCCATCCCTTGCACTCAACCCCTCATCAAGCTCCGAGGTCTCCTCCAGGAGAGACATCCCAGGATACTGAAAGACTGTAGGGCTCAAAGTCACACAGATGTAGGTTTGAGTCCTAGTTTTACCATCTACCAGCTTCATGATTTCAAGAGATTAGCATTTCTTCAACTTGGGACCCAATTCATAAGGAAGTTAGTACCTATCTATAAAGGTAGATATTCAAATGAAAAGAAGAAAGTGACAGTTTTAAATGTGATTGTTCCTCACATGATAATTATCATAAGTTCTGCTGGAGTCCCCAATTTTAGATTCCCCTAATAAATTATTTCCCAAATATCTAGACTTCCCACTAAGTATTTCAGTTGACCTCAACCTTGTTCCAGTTTCAAATAGGGTATAGATATATTTAAAGAAGGCATAGCAGGAGAGCTCTCCCCGCCTTTTTTAATCAAGGGGTGGGATACATGGGGAAAGCAAACAGAGGTGGATATAGAGAAAATTCCCCCTTCCCCATGAGGAACTTTGAAGTATCTCAGAGAGGCAGTTTAAGAGACTTCCTGCTTTCCACTATTGTAGAATTGGTTGGGTCAGATGAATGAGTTGGGAACCAGGAAATGCAATTCAAGAAAATGCAGATTACAATTGTGAATAAGGTCAGAGAATCACTGGGGGAAAAAGAGACCTAAAAAATGCAGATTGGGCATAAGCCCCTGGTGAGTAGGGGCAAGACTTTGAGAAGTCATAGAGCCAAGTGACTCTAGCTATGTCATTAGGGACAATATGATGAGGAACATGCCTCAGATCAGATCTGATTTATTCATTTATTTAATTAGTCATTTGGTTGTTCACTGAATTAATATGTACTGGGTATATCAAACACCGTGCTAGGTGCAGGATTTTAGGTTTGACTGTCATTATCTCTTTTTTGATTTTTGAAAAGTCCTTTTTTAAGACTCAGTTTCTGTTTCTATTAATTGACAGGAAAAGTCAACAGAAACCCTAAGTACTCGTTTGGAGTGATAATACTAAATATAACATCTGTACAAATCTCAACAAAAGGGACTTATTATAAGTGTTAAAAGTTATCTATGGGGAAATTATGAAACACTTTCCCCATTAAGCTTAAATAGAGAAATAAATATGCCCTGTGGAGTATAAGTGGGATTTTCCACAATAGAGCAGAGCAAAGATGGGCACAATGCAGGTACATGTTTGGGTAGAAGAATATAACCAGAGTAGGCATATCCCTTCTAAAAAAAGGAATGTGCTCTTTAGAAAGAAGATCATAGACTTTGTAGAAAAGAAAGAGAAGCTTCAGAGAGGTGTTGTTCAGGGGACTAGCATGCATTGAAATCCCATTGACAACTGGCAAGGTCCCACATCCCACTGTGACAAACAGCTAATTTTTTTTTCCCCCTAGGTTCTAATTGTCTAGAGAGCAGACTTAAAATTAGAGCTTACCATAATTTTGGATTCCAGGAAGGTTGTGATGGCATGGGGTGAGAATTGGGGGGTAAAGAAGGGAATCACATGATTGTACAGAGTTACTGTGGAATGGCTAGGGATTGTTCATCAAATCCTTCTGCGAAGCTATTTCAGTGTTCCACCCACACCACCTCATGGAGATAAAAGGCTGTAAATCTGTATTTCCCTTCACCGCAGCACCATAAGCTTCTGTCCTGCACTCAGTCTCCCCCAGCTTTAAAAACCACCCACAGGGCACCTGCGTGGCTCAGTTTAAGCATCTGAATCTTGATTTTGGCTCAGGTCCTGATCTCAGGGTCATGAAATAGAGGCCCAGGTGAGACTCAGCGCTCAGCGCAGAGTCTACTTGCCCCTCTCTTTTCCCCTCTGCCCCTCCTCCTGCTCTCTCTCTCTAAAAAAAATAAATAAAATCTTGTTTGTGCACACACTATCTTTGAACTAACCTTCGGGCAAGGGTGTCAGGGGAAAGGGAAGTGAGTCTGCCACTCCTTGAAAGCCAGGAGCCCTGTAACAAGATCTCAACCGAGTAGAACAATTGGAGCAGACCCTTGCTGGGGATCATTTGGGGACTTTTAATTGTGAGACACTGTGAGTAAATACGCATATGCCAAAGTGCCCTCAGACATTGTATGCCCACCCACAGTGTAATAATAACCTCTCTGCTGCCTCTGATCTTGTATTAATTCAAGGATGTGCATGTGGGGAGAGTTTTCACAAGACAGAGCAGACTCACATGAGCAAATGCTGGAAACAGTTATAGTCCTCAAAACCCAGGGGACAGTGGTTCTTACTTAAACAGGTGGAACATTCAGGCTCTTTCTTCATTGAGTGCTTTTGTGGCATCACGATATACAGGATCTTCAACTAAGTTTTCTGTTCTACAAGTACGGATGAATGTCAGAAATCCATTCTCCCAGATCACCACCAACACCAGTAGTTGATTTCATCCTTCGTGGAATCACCTATGCCAAATTTCTTGGAATAACCTTCTCAAGGATGTTTTGTTCTTCACCATGAAAACCTCACTTATGTTCAGATTTACTCCTGGCACAAGCTTGACTCTACTGAAGAGAATCTTTATCAGTTGGGTGTTAGGTGTGTAGAAAGAGTTAACATAGCAGCCCCAAGACAGCTTACACTGAGAGTGGTCATCTTGCAAAGTGGCCCTCAGTTGGCATCTGGGAACTTGGATCTCCAGGGTGTTCCCACCACCCAAACTTAAGAGTGACTCACTAGGCCTAAACTGTTTATGCAAATGATGTGATTTATGCTGAGCACTTGCTTTCCTCCTGGGGGTCTGCAATTTTGGTATTGCCAATAGAAGCTGCCTACCTGACTAACCTCCAACAAAAACCTTCCTAAGTTTTTAAAGAAATATAAATAAATAAATAAATAAATAAATAAATAAATAAATATCTTTTTAAATAAAACCACCCACAATCTTCTCAAGATCGTGCTTCCCAAGTTTCTCAATATGAAACTTTCCCTTTGTCTAAACAAAGTTGTTTGCAATTCTAAATATTCTAGGACAATATTCTAGATTAAAGCTTCTCAACCTTTGAGAATTATATCAGAATTACCTGGAGGACTTATTAAAACACAGATTGTTGGACCTCACCTCCCAGAGTTTCTGGTTCAGGAGACCTGAGGAAGGACCTGAGAATATGCACATTTAACAAGTTCCCAAACGTTGCTGGTGATGCTGGTCTGAGAATCACACTTTGAGAACCACTTTTCCAGACCCTTGGAACTCATGAGTCTTGTTATTTTTGTTACACATCACATGGGCATTACCTTAGTGGTGTTTGAAAGAGTAGCACTGGGCTTCTCAAGCTTTAATCACCCATGGATCTTACTAAATACAATTTGAATTCAATAGGTCTTGTGTGAGGTTTAAGATCTGTTTCTCTAACAAGCTACCAGATATACCAATGCTGCTGTTCATTGGGCCACACTTGGAACAGTAAGGTTCTAGCCTTTTCTTTGCCTAAAGATTTCTTCTCAGGCAGTTATTTATGCTAAGATCATTACCTTCTCTTCTTCCTACCACCCTGTATCAAGTACCCTAACCTTTCTCATCCTTCACAAAGTACTTTATATAAACACACACACACAGACACACACAGACACACAGTCTTAGCCTGATCTCCGAAAACCAAATGGGTCTTCTCTTGTGCATGCAGCATCAAGCCTCCACAGAATTTTGTGTCTAATGGTTATCATTTCCCTCACTCTGAGTGGTAGTAGGATTATTTGTGCTCAGCCTGTTTGCTCGGTAAAAATTCCATTGTTTCCACATATGCCACACATTTTTCAGGGCATCTGTACTCATTTTTATGTTTTTCCCTTGATATGTCTATCTCTTACTTAACAATATGCCTTGTTCACCATTATAACATTCTTAGCGACTAGCTCAAGATTTTTCACATGGTAAATATTCAGTATATATTTACGACATTTTATTGAGTCAAGTGTTCTCTTAGTTCCATATTCATAGCTCTCAAGATCTTGGATTAAAGCTCCCTGTGTTTTAACATTCCTAAAGCTGGCAAAACAGCCCTAGTCTTTTCTCCAAAAGACTTCTCTTAGTAGTCTTCCTCAAATCTGGGATTTATGGAGGATTTTGAAGAGCCCTCTGTGTATCTCCTTTGTCTTCATGCTGTAGATGATGGGGTTGAGCATGGGGGGTACAAATAGGTAAACACTGGACATCATGACATGAACAACAGGTGGGGCACTTTTCCAGAAGTGATGGATCATAAAGACAGCAATTATGAGCACATAAAAAGCCAGCACTGCACAAATGTGTGACATGCAGGTGTTGAGTGCCTTGAGCCGCTGCTCCTGGGATGTGATGGCCAGGACGGCTTTCAGGATCAATGCATAGGAAAGCAGGATGAATGCCACGTCAATGCCATAGGTGAAAATAACCACAAAGAGCCCATAGATGTTGTTAACATGGATGTCTCCACACGCCACTTTCATGAGATCTGGATGGAGGCAGTATAAATGATGCAAAATTCTGTCCTTGCAGAAGGGCAGTCATTTTACCAGAAAGGGAAAAGGGAAAAAGGTGATGAAACTCTTGGCAAGGATGCCCAGGCCCATAGCCAAGATGCGGCTATTGGTGGGCATAGTGGCATAGCGTTGTGGGTCATAAATAGCCACAAAACGATCAAAGCTCATGGCCAGCAGTATGCCTGATTCCATGAAAGAGAAAGTGTGGATGAAGAACATCTGAACCAAGCAGGCATTGAAGCCAACATGGTGGTAGTTGAAGCAGAAGGTAGCAAGCACAGTGGGAAGTGTAGAGGACACCCCCAGATCGTTGAGAGAGAGCATAGAGAAGAAGTAGTACATGGGCTGGTGCAGAGCAGGCTCCCAAAACACCAGAGTGAGGATGCTGAGGTTGCCTATGATGGAAATCAGGTAGAGGATGCAGAAAACCAGGGCAACCCAGGCATAGCCTGTCTGCATCCCTGGAATGCCTGTCAGCTGGAGTGTGGCTGGCCGGAAGGGGGTTTCATTGAGGCTCAACATGGCAGGCAGGTGGGAGAATACAGATGGAGGGTGAGCCCCAAAGGGTGTGTTGGGGGAGTTCTTCACTTTCTTTCAGACATCCTGTCTCCAACACAAAAGGTTAGAGATGGAAAGTGTTTGTCTATGTTTCTGTTTCTCTCATTAGACTATGAGCTCTCTGAGAATAGTAACTGGGTTCAACTCATTTCTGTATCACCGGTGCGCAGTACCCTGTCTAGGTCGTGGTAGAAACTCCATGAAAGTGTGATGATCAGGGAGTGCCTATGACGTGGTAAGGCAACAAGGTAGGAGGCAACATGAATGATGCCCCCTAATCTTCACCTTAAAGTGCATCATCCCTTCATTTCCCCCATCTCACCCCAGAAGCTATCTTCTAGAAATCTAGGACAAATAGAAATTAAGATAAACAGGGAAAAGGAAACACCACTCATGCCTTTGAGAACCCTTTGGGTGATGCTGCAGATGACTCTTCTACCCCGTGAACTTACAGCTTCAATAGCCTTTACTCAGACTTCTCCTCAGTCTCCCAGTCCCACAGCTATCCCTGGATGTGTCATCACCAAAAACTGTTCCACCTGTAAAATCTGAAATTCCTTTATTTTCTACTTTATTACAATAGTCTTCTACCTTCCACCTGTCCTACCTTCTCATGCCCTTATAGTGCTCTCAGTGTCTCAATAACTCTCCCATACTATCCTGGCCTATTTGTGTATGAGCTCCTCCTCACTTATTCTCTGACCCACTCTCCCACTGGGACTGGTACTCTCATCTTCTCTTTGTTTCTCTTTCACATTCATACTTGAAACCTCAACTTTTTATAATTCTGTAACCAAACTTCTGGGTGTACAGCTGGATAAAACCAAAGAAGCAAATGTTTTATTAGAAAAGACAGAGACAGACCTACAGAGTCATTTTACCACCACCTAAATTTTAAACTCACATCTTTATCTGTTCTTACCCACTGGTTTCTGAGAAAGAGGTGTATGCCCTTGTCTAAAGCCAGGCCCTCCACCTCCAGAATTCCATTTCCTGCTATCGCTTTCAGAAACCTCTCCCACTAGTCTATTTTACTGCAAGTTCAGTTTCTCCTTTTCTGTCTCTTTCCCTTCAGGCAATAAGCATGTACAAGACCAGACAGACCATCATAAAGATATAACCTTCCCTCTCTTGCTGCCTCATTATTACCTTCCCTAATTCTTAGTCAGACTCCTTGAAACACTGTCTCTCTGCCATGGAAAGGGGGCTTGTTTATGTGTCTGCTTTTCCAGTTCCATTCTGAGATCCTGAAAGTCAGGGTTTCAAACTTATTGACTTTACCTTCTATTACTGTTCAATTTATTGTACTGTGGTTTCCACACTTCCCCCTCCCAACTGAAATGAATTTCTCTATGCTCACCAGTGACCTCTTTGTTGCTAAACTGAATGAAAACACTCTCTCTTCATCCATGTGAGCTCTCCATCAGAGTTAATATTGTTGGCAACTCCATTTCCTCCTACTTGACATCTCTTTCTGTAGCTTCTTTACTGACTCCTCTTTGTCTTTCTCCTTAAGCAGTGTCAGTCTAACTCCAGGAAAAATAAACAATAGTCAGAATGGTGCAGATTGAGAAAACCATATCATAAAGGACTTCTTCTCAGCCTTGGGGCACCTGGGTGGCACAGTGAGTTAACTGTCCAATTCTTGGTTTCAGGTCAGGTTGTGATCTGGGTGTTGTGAGATTGAGGCCTGCGCTGGGCTCCATGATAACCATGGAGTCTGCTTTGAATTCTCTCTTCCTCTCCCTCTGCCCCTCCTGTTCATGCTCTCTCTCTTTCTCTCTCTCTCTCTTTCTCTCTCCCTCTCTCTCAAATAAAAAAATAGATCTTTAAAAAATAAAAAAGGCTTCTTAGCCTTAATCCAATAATCTCTGTAACTATTTCCATGGTATTTGATATCTCAAAATCAAAGCTCCAATCTTTAGAGAATAGAATGGTGGTTGCCAGAGGCTGAGAGTGAGGGTGGTGAGGGAAATGTGGAGATATTAGTCAATGGGTACAGGCTTCCAGCTCTAAGATAAATAAATTCTGTGAATCTAATAATAGCAGAATGACTATAATTCACAATACTATAATATACCCTTGAAAGTCATCAAAAGAGTAGATAGTAAATGTTACCACCACACACACACACACATACACACACACAATGGAAATTATGTAAGGGAATGGAGGTGTTAACTAATCTTATTGTGGTGCTCATTTTGCACCACAATATACGTGTATCAAATTGTCTCACTGTACACTCTAAGCTGACATATGCTATATGTCAATAATATCACAATAAAACTGGAAAAATCTATATTTAAAATTAAAAAATAAGTTCCGCTTTGGAATTTAGGCATAATGACTCCCCTATTTTCTTATAACAACTCCTTATTCATTTGACTTTCTAGAATTTCCATCTTTTTCCCAGTCCTCTTAGTAAATACAGTGAAATATGGTGCCCAGAGGCTGGATAACACCCAGATATTAATAATAATCCTGAAAGTATGTGGACCATGAGAAGGAATTTGTCTATTCCTTTGTTTTCTCTCATCCAAATGAGAATCCAAAGGAATCCTTTAACTGGTAGGATTACTTTTCCCTACTCCCCCTCTAAACATCTCTCTTTTTCCTGACCCAGGTTTAAAGGTAATGTCTCTAAGAAGTCTTCTCAAATCCAACCTATCCAGATTTGTTTTTTTAATCATCTTCACTCCAAGATTATTTCCACATACTGAAGAAATGGAAAGACTCTTAAGCATGCCAACAGATACTAAGTTCTCTCTCACAAGATAGATATACCCTCCCCACTGTCCTTAAATCCTGGTATGCAAATTTAGGTAAACCAGGAGGGCATATTTCATCCATGCTCCAGACTTTCCTTGGTCTAGAAAGCAACTCTGAAAACTTCTACCCCAAAGAAAACATGTTCTGCCACCACCTAACAAACTTTTTTTTTCATTGTTTGGACCATAAGGGTGTCAGTTAAGGATTCCTAAGTGTGGCTAACCTTTACGAAGAAAAGTCAAGAAGATGGAGAGAGACACAACAATGTGGTTCTTTTGCACAGGATGTGGATGAGCATAAACACACACATGGTCACACAAAGGTGACATTAAATATACATGTTTATACTCCTGCACACACTTAAGAACTCAGATATCCACGGGGACTATCTCACATCACACAGACAGAAACTACCATGCACTCCTTTGGTCACACACAACACCATCACAACCACAGAATTTAGGAAGACTCATAGCTACTCACTGACATTATACAATGAGTTTCAAATATCCTCTCGTATGTATACTCTCCAGAACACAGGCTTACTAACACACACACACACGTGCACATATACACACAGTGCCACAAATAATACATCAGCATTAACGGACCCACAGTAATATCGCCACCAATTATATTCCCAAGACATACTCAATCCTAGAAATCTAGCTGAGGTTGAATACCACATGGTTGAATGACTTCAATTCATTCGGTTCTGTGATCTTTGTCTCCAGCTGCATACCCAACAGTTAAGGATATGAAACAATAATTCGAATTGCAGGCAAACAAAATCATAGAATAGAAAGAGGACAAAATCTAGATCTGATGCATCTAGATCTCTTTAACTTTAAGGGTATCTGGTTTGGTTTTAGGGTTTTGGTTAAGATGAGACCTGGCATCAGAATCTGTGATCCTTGACTTTGCCAGCAAACTGATTAGGCTTATGTTTGGATGGGAAATACGAGGGGCAGAGTCAGTCTGAAGTTTCAGTAAGAGTGTTAAAGCTTGGGACACCTTCTAAATAAGGAGCCCACGTGGGCAATCCAAAGGAAGGGCACTCACTGGGTGGCAGATGGTTCTTTTCTCTGTAGCTGGATGTATTGGTCTGTGAGTCCAGCTGGGAGAGTAGTATCAGCTCACTCTCCTAGGACTCATAAATTTATGACTATCCTAGAATCCCAGAGCTTGTTTGTTTGTGATGGGAGGAGGGAAAATAGAAATAATAGAGAAGGTGGTATCTATGAGTAGTGAGTTGGGCCATATGAGAATCGCTCCCAGGAGAATCCCGTTCTTGGCCTCATCATCCTGATGTCATCATCCATATCCATTACTATGTTAATCTGTCCTTGCTCAGGGGATACAAACACATGTATGCACACAAACATGAGTAGTCCTAGACATTCTGAGACTCCCACAAATGTAGCGCTAGACATATTCAGCCATTTATTTACTAACATTCTCACTGCCTCCTTTCAATCCATACACATACAAACTGATAAACATAAATATGCTCAATTGCCCTATTCTCTAATCACCAATCACATATCTTGACACACCAAACACACACCAGAATCTCTGTATTCTTACATTAATTATAAAGACTCATGTAGATTATAGACATAATCTTAGAAATTGTTGGAGACTCATAGGCATCCTTGAAGAAACAATATATTTTAAATATAGTCGCATGATCACATATCCAAAAGTATACATTTCAAACATATCTACATTCCCATTAAGAGATCAACAAAATCCCCAATGACTTCCCATCACTACATCTATTCATGGATTCATATATGGAGTTTAAATGCATTGCATATTTTTTGTACAAATGTATGTCAGCATCCACAGCATGCTTCTTATTTAAGCATTCCTTTGACTCCAACACTGTATGGAGCCTAAACATTACAAACTTAGTTCAATTCAAATAAAACCAAGCAAAAAAAAAAAAAATGTAAAGCCCCACATTTTTGAGCATTATTCTCCTCCAGGTGTTATTCTCAAAGCTGATGTTATACAGAATAACAGTGCCTATTCTTGCAAAGAAGACAAATACTAAAAAACTGATCCATTCAACAGTGCAAATATGCCTCAGAGACTACCTAGAAATAGGTCATAAACATATTTCACAAGAAAATCAATGCATTTATCAAAACTTATCGAATGTAAGTTCTGTGCATTATATGTCTGAA